GCTCCGGCGATCCTTCCGCCTCAGCCTTCCGAGTAGCCAGAATTACAGGCACGCGCTACCACGCCCAGCTGATTTTTTGTTTTATTGTAGACATGAGGTCTCGCTGCCCAGGGGGTCTCAAACCCTCGGGCTCAGACAATCCACTCACCTCAGCCTCCCAAAGGCGTGGGATTACAGGCTGAGCCAGCGAGCCCTGCAGGCTGGGCCATTTTAACCACATTTGCCCTGTAGGAGGAAAGTGGATGGATATCATTTAAAACAGAGCAACAAAGATTGACAGACAGGTTCAGAGAATAAAGTAGTTAAACGGGAAAGAGAAACATAGGGAAAAGAAAATAAGAAAAGAGAGAGATAAAGAAAGGAGCACATAGCATCTATATTAAACCAACCATATAGAAAAACCAGAAATGTTCAGATTGTTTGTGTTCCTGATTTTGAATAATTATATTTAATTATCAAGATCATAAGCAAAAAAAAAAAAGGCTAAGTTTTTCCGGAACCCCTGCCCTCTTGGATATCTTTACATTTTTTCCTGGTTACCTGGAGACTCTCATTTGGAGACATAGCATTCCCAGAGATTTTGAAGTCATGGATGGGGAGAAGTGGGACTTTTTTTTTGTCGTGAAGGAACATATAAATTTAGGGGGAATTATATAAAATGCAAAATGTAATTTTTATAATGCCCTTTAGAGGACCACCTCCCCATTTTTTTTAGCTTGAGAAATGCATTGTGTGTAATTTGAGTTGCTTATTAAATTAGCATTTGCTATATTTAGAGATGTGACAGTCTGGGAAAGGTTGCTTTTTCTGTTTTTCTTCGGGGTTGGGCGGGGACCATAAAAACTCCCCTGCCGTGACAAAAAATGTTTTTCAGATTTTCGCATTTCTAGTCGCACCAGGAAGACACAGACATACGCACTCACCCTCCTCGTCTTCCCACCCACATAACCACACATGTACACTCCCACCTCACCCCTACACACACGTACTCATCTGTCCTTCCCTGCTGAAGCCCAAAGCTCAACTGCTCCTTTCCATCCTCTAGCACTGAGCTGTGTTCCCACTCTTTTAGGGTCCTGCTGTCAGAGGTGGGTGGCAGGAAGCAGGAGAACAGGACCCATCAGAAGGGGTGGGAGCGAGGAGGTGGTTGACCTGGTTCAGGACGGAGTTCGGGTACCTGGAGAGTTCAGGGAACAAAGCAGAGAATGGGAATGCAGAGAAAGGAGCTGAGCACAGATGCTAGGGTGAAAGACCAGCGGGGGAGGCAGACGGGCAGGTGTCAGGAGATCATTTGAGAGATCATTTGCCCAGGCATCCAGACCAGGTGGGGACAGAGTTCACCCT